TCTAATTTATTCAAAACACCATATCGACGTATTGTCCTTGTGCAGTCATTGATGGGCGAATGTTCTGACGATTTTGATGGTGCACTCCGCGACCTCGTCCACTATGGGCGCCTCTTCCAGCTGTATATTCAAAGAGACTTGTCTGAAAAAAGAGTTTAAAAAGAACTGCAATATATCGGCATAAAAAAGAAAAACTGAGACACAGAAGGCAATTTTAAGATAAAACCAAAATTGGTAGTAGTTTGAAAATGTCGAGCAAAAAATCATATTGATTGAAGTAACAAACCGAGATAGTGCTCATCAAGTCCCCAACATCGGCGGCAGGATGAGGCTGCGTAAAGAAAAACAAATGATCGAGAGCTTGTTCAGCGTCGAGACGAAGGGATGGATCCAGAACCAGGAGACTGTCAATCAAGTTCAAGGCATTTCGATCCTTAAAAAGATCATTGCTTCATGAGATCTATTATCTACAACTTCCAAATCCAAAATATACCATATCTAACACAATGAATTTAAGCCTTACTCTAACATAAACTTCCAAACGTTCAACCACACGACGATTTAGATTTTGCTGAAGCTCCATTTTGCCGTAAAGTGGTAAATTTTCCACGCCCCTCCATGTCTGGGGGTTAATACTTCCACACAGATTGGATATCAGTGCCAATTGCTTTTGTTCACTTTCACCCTGAAAATCGCATCACCTAATTTTAGAATTACCAAGTGTGAAAACACACAGCACATCAGCTTAAATACAAATTGAGATTAACGTTTCGGTTAGAAAAATAAATAGATAAAATAGATGAAGTCAGTTTAATGTTTCATTTCAGGAGTCATGATAGAAAAGTGGTGCAAACGTTGTAATTACGACAACATACTTGCAGAATAGGAGTACGTGTCCATAATTCAGCCATGATGCAGCCCGCGCCCCACATATCGATTTGTGGTCCATAATGACGTTCACCAAGAAGTAATTCAGGGGGACGATACCATAAAGTAACAACACGGTTCGTGTAACAGTGTTCCGGTTGACCTGAAATAGACAGCAATCCACAATCAGCGGTCACTATCAAATGACCAAGATCACTGGGGTTTTAACATTATCAAATAAATCTCAAGCCGATGCACCAAAACTGCTCAGCTGAATTTATTTCCCAGGTGTAAGAATAGTTCAGAAATATCGCTGGCTCCTCATTACGATGCGGTGATCAAGTAATAAAACAATATAAAATACCTGGTAATTTTGAAAACAAAGGTCTCGCTAAACCAAAATCCGCCAACTTCAGTATACCGTCTTTCGTAATTAAAACATTTGCAGCCTAAAATACAGAGAAAATTATGATTAAATGACATGAAATAACATCCACCAATTGTATTCACAGTATGCTTCCTTTGCCAACTTTCATCTCATAAAAATAAAATTATTGGTCACTTAGAGAGGGTTAAATACAGAAGAAAAATCAAGTGCTCATATAAATAAAGCTCCCTTCTAAACACATTACACAGAAACAAAGCTGTATACAAACGGATGCAGAAATGATAAAAACACAACATACCTTCATATCACGATGTAATATTTTTGCAAAATGTATTTGATAAAGGCCTTCTAATAAATGTTTCATCAGTGTTTTTATATGCACCAAGGAGAGTCGAACATTGGTATTAGACAAAAGACCAGCAAGATCGTGCTCACAAAAAGAGAATACCAAATAGAAGGTACTACGCTCTCGATTATGTACTGATGCTAAAATAAAGATGATGACTTGATTAATTAAAGATGACTTAAATAAATAAAATTTCAAGCAAAAAATTTTTGAACAGCATACCTCTGCTACTACATATCTCTATCAGTTCAGTAATATGCTTATGCTTTAGTTTCTGCAACATTTTTACTTCTCGTAGAGCTGTTATTGGAAACTGCAACAATACAACAAATTATTAAAACCTTTTTAACAAAGATTCCAAATTACAAATTACATTATGAGGACATGAAAACCAACAAGGAAAAAAATAAATTGAACAAAAACATACTCCTTCCTTCTCATTCTCCATCAAAATTTTCTTCAGAGCAACGATTCGACCCGTACGCTTACAACGCGCTTTGAATACCTCCCTTTAAGTAGCAGAGCGATAAATACAGCATTCTTCAAGTTTTCATGAATTAGATTGTTCTGCTCGAAAAAAGGTTACCCGAATGTTCCCTGACCAATTTTTGCTAACTTCTCGTAGTTGGTGACATCAGTAATGTATGGAAATTCGAACCTCTCGGTATACTTCATCAGTTCAGGTGTAACCTGAAACCAAGCCCAAATTAGCTCAATTTGATCAATAATTTGACAACTCTAGTCTTTAAAGTGACTTAATCATTTATGTATGGAATGACCAACAGGTAATATAACGAAATAATACAATCTTAAATGTGAACAACACAATAACCTTCTGTCGACTCATCAGAGCGATGTCTTCCTTTGATGGATGTAACATCGATGATGTGATTGGAATGGATGATGTGCTACCATTTGAGCCAAATGAATGCGGCTGTTGAGGAAGATGATTGTTCTGCATTTTGGCATGAATAAACTGAAAAGCAAAAATGGCTTATTACTCGACATATCATTTTTAATGTCACAGGTGCAACATAGCAAACACCCTCGCTATTCTAAAGTACAAAATATAGCCAACCACCCCAAACCCTTCTACACCGATTACCACCAATTCGTAATCTTCAATGAAACCAATCTCAAAGTGTAGCACTCCCGCGAATGGGTGCATTGAAAATCGAAGCATCTCAATATTCAGTCAATGAAGATAATACGAATGATTTCGATCTGCCGAAGATTTATCATTATCATATTTGATTTGAAGTCGTCACAAATGTTTTCTTATTCTCACGACTTTTATTTGCCCATCAATGACTGCACAAGGACAATACGTCGATATGGTGTTTTGAATAAATTAGG